GTCCCTGTGAGAGAACGATTCAGGTAGCGTTTGACACCGTCTGCCATTCCACGCTACTAGAAGATATAGAGGCTTCATCTCTCCCACAGAGGCTCAAACGGTGGTCGGCAAATTATCTGAGTGGTCGACACTCGTCGGTAATGTTTAGAGACAAATCGAGTAAACTTAGAAAAATAAAACAGGGGATTCCACAGGGAGGTGTCTTTTCCCCGCTACTGTTTAACTTTTACATTTCAAAGCTCCCTCAACCACCAGAGGGAGTCTCGATCGTCTCTTACGCCGAGGCGACTAGGAATGGAATAGATGACCAGTGTTCGAAAGTAACTGCACAGAACACCGCACTCAGGATAGCGACAGGATGCCTCCAGATGTCGCCCGAACACCATCTTCATGGCGAGGCGCAAATGCTCCCCGTAAAGGAGCAAAACATCATGCTCTGCAAGCAGTTCCTGGTCGGGAGCCACAGAAGTGGCCACCCATACAGACAGCTGCTTGCAGAGGAGCCCTCGCCTAGGCACGTCAGGAGGCATCTATATGAACTGACGGACGAAGTCCAGAGGTTCATCAAGCAACCTCTGGACCCGTCAGCTTACCGACTGGCCCTGAACGGCATTCACAGGGAGTCAGTCTCGAGTTATGTAGACTCTAGACCTGTGAATGCCGTTCTAGGCATACCGCCACCGAACATAGACGAGACGGAGCTTCATCTGCCTCGGGAGACACGAACGACAATAGCCCAACTCCGACTTGGCTACTGCAGCAGGTTAAACTCCTACCATATCTCAATTCTATCGACTAGGTGTATGGTGTCAAGTTAGCACTACATACCATTTTTTCTTAAAAAACGAGAGCTACAAATTTTTTCTTTCCACAACAAATTTACAACAAAAAAGCTACAATTAATGCCGTTGTAACCTTTTCAATATCTCAATTCTGTCGTCAATGGTGCAAGGTTTCAAGTAAGCACTACATACTAAATTTTGTTCGAAAAAGGGTCAACTCAATTTTTTCCAGAAAAACGAAAGCTACAAATTTTTTCTTTTCACAACAATATTTCAAGTTAAAAGCTACAATTAATGGCATAGTAACATATTGGATATCTCAATTCTATCGACTAGGTGTATGGTGTCAAGTTAGCACTACATACCATTTTTTCTTAAAAAACGAGAGCTACAAATTTTTTCTTTCCACAACAAATTTACAACAAAAACACTACAATTAATGCCGTAGTTAACTTTTCCAAATTCGAAAAGTGTAGTGCTAACTTGACACACGTTTCGTTTTTAGGCATGCCATTGTTACGAATTTCGAAAGTTCGAAAATACGATTCGGATTTCAGCATACTATTTATACGATTCGTAGCAAAAACCGAATACGAAAGAGTTACAGAATAGGGGTGTAACTTTCCTTTGTAGAGCCATTGAACTGAAACTTCGGTGCTGCCACACATCCCATTAAAAAGTCGAAAAACAAACTGACAACGGAAACAATGAAAACGCACGATTTTTTATTGCATATATTCACTATATATCGAAGTATTGATTAAAAAAAAGCGGCGCAAGCCAAAATTTGCATTATATCGAAGTATTGATTCTTTAGTGCTGCTTGCGTATTTGTACAACGATTTTTGGGTGCTGTGCCCAAACGCGTAATTCGAATCAAAAAAAGTTTACGCACTCTTGCTGACAAGACTTCACGCTTTATTACAAAAATAAAGTTAACTACATCTGTGCACTAATTTATGGGTACTGTTTAGTAAGTGGCCCAACTATTTCGGGGTATTGCGTTCAAAGGGGTGTGACCCCATCCAAAAAAAAAATTTCCACACACTTCTAGTCAAGGGTCTACACCAGTGATGGAAAATGAATGTGCATTGTGCCAATTTTGGCCCTTTCGGGAGCAGCACAATTGATTGATTTTCGGCACTATTTTGGCGTAACAATGCAAATAATAAATATTTTTTTTTTGCTTTTTGATCGTATATGCTTAATTTGATAAATGAAATTAACATAGAAATGCAAGCAGAAGAAGCTCTCATTCGCATTCTGCATGTACGCTTAAAATTTTTGTTGAAACCAATTTGTCGCGATTTCATTTCTAAGGCAAATATTGAATCTCATTTAATATATACTTTAGATTTAAATAATCATATACCCATTTATATATATAGATATATATCTTTTGTGGAACATATGCTGAAATAAGTCTTACTAAAGAAAATTTTACAGAAGCTGAAATTAATAATAATAAAATAATAATAGATTGGCGCTTACACATATGTTAGTGTTTGGCCGAGCTTCTCCTCCGATCTGTGGCGTGCGCCTTGATGTTGTCACACAAAGCGGAGGGACCTACAGTTTGACGCCGACTCCGAACGGCGATTGTGTTTTTATGAGAAGCGGGTTTTCATGGCAGAAATACACTCGGAGGTTTGCCATTGCCTGCCGAGGGACGACCGCTGTTAAGAAAAAACCGTTTTTCTATATTTTTTGCGATGTTGCTTTGACCAGGGTTTGAACCCAGGTGCTGCGGAGTGGAAGCGCGCACTGAAGTTGGCTATAAAGACGGTTTGTAAGTACTTTAGTAATAAAATATACCGATGCTTTGTATTTTTGTAATTCAGGGTTAATGATTGAACGACGATTTTTGTTCATACGTATTTTTTTTTAACTACACAAGTACTTTATATTATTTTATAGTCCATTCAGCATAACAAAGTGGAAGTATGAAATGGCTCGAAATCGCGTTAATTTTTGGGAACTTTCACATATACTACATACATAAAGCATACCCAAATTTTTTGAACATACAATTACAATACGTAAAAGGAAAATGTAAAAAATAAAAAAAAATACTAAAAATCAACGCAATTCCTAGCCACTTTAAACTTGCACTTTATATTACAATAGTTGAATGGACTACAAACTGCATATCAAAAAGTTTTCTAAAAATTCTGACAACAAAGTTTTAAATAATTTATAATAAAATTTTTTCAGTCAAAAGTAAGTTAAAACTTGACTTTTATTTTTTCGGTCAAATAAAACAGTTTAAATTAGTTAACAGTTAAACAGTTAAAAAAGTAATCTGACTTATTCGGTCAAAATAGCAGTTTACATATTCACAATACAATATGTTTTAATAAAAAATGCACATCCTTTCAATTGCAGTTTTCTAACAATGAGTTTCTTTAATTTAAGCTTTAAGTTATTAACCTTTTTACAGGAATGATTCGGAATTCAATTTAACAATTAATATAATATTAATATTTGACCGAAAAAATAAAAATAAAATTTTAACTTTTACTTTTGACCGAAAAAATTTGTGTTATATTAACTTTTATATTTGACCGAAAAAAAATTCAAGTGTTAACTTTTGTTTTTGACCGAAAAAATAAAAGTAATATCTTAACTTTTATTTTTGACTGAAAACATATCGGTGAAAAAATAACGATTATTTTTTGGCTTTTTTGAAAAACTATATTCAACAATTTTTAATGAGCTTGAGGCCGTTTTTAATGAAAAACTTATTGTGGAAAAGCAACAATAGAGTGAAAAAATGGTAGAGTGATAGCTATTTCGGAAATCACCACATTTTCTCATCAGACTTCTTTCAGTAGGCTTCGAACCGACGATCCCACTGACTCAGCCAGTTGCCTATGCACTGTGCTAAGCTCGCCTTGTACATTATCGTTGCTTTTTTCCCACTTTTTCATTTTGTTATGCCAACACAATCAAGCGCAGCTATTCCGCTGCAATTCACTTGCTCATGTGGTTGTTGGTTTTGTTGGTTTTTGCTAATAATTCTATTTTTAGAATGTTTAACTTTTAGGTGTGCTCGTCCTTAAGTTTGTGGAGTTCCAGATAATAAATAAAGACGGAACGCACAATATTTCAGTAATCCTCGTTTATTAGTAATTAATATTATATCAAATGTGGTTACCAAGAATATTGCAAATAGCGAGTTGAACTACAAGAAGGACCGGCCAAGAAGAAAGATTTTAGTACCTTCATCTGTCAAACTAACTTTAGCAGGGTTGCATTCTAGACCTAGTTAGGAGGTTGCCACAGTACTCCCCCAGACTTTTAGCATGCGTAGCGAGGTGGAAGTCTTACTGCGCGTCCGGTTCTGGTCTTTTTTTCAGATGGCATAGGCTTCGCAACGTCCTCCTCTGAAGATGTGTTTTGCTGACTGTCGCCAATGCTTTGCGATTCTTCGCTAGTCTGGTATATAAAGGCAGGCTTAATACGGTCGATCGAGACTGTTACCGATTTACCGTGAATTTTGAGCTTGAATGTCTTGTTTGAACGCTCCTCGACCTCGTATGGTCCGTTGTATGGCGGTGTCAGCGATGGTCGCACAGTATCGTTTCTAACGAAAACATGGGTAGCTGTAGTCAGTGCTGGGAAAATGAAAGGCTTGCGCTTGTGGTGATGCGATGTGTTCGTCGGCTGCAGGTCGTGCATGATAGCTAACAGGTTCTGAACAAATTCCGATGGAGATGTCGTCTTGCGTGTTTCACACATGTCGCCTGGAAGTCTGATGTTAGTACCGTAGACCATTTGTGCGGGTGTTGCTTTAATATCAGGCTTATATATTGATCGGAGGCCAAGTAGGATGAGCGGCAGTTGATAAGACCACTTATGCGAATTTGTGCACATGATCGCTGCTTTTAAGGTTCGACGAAATCGCTCTATCAAACCGTTTGACTGTGGATGGTAAGCTGTGGTTCGCAGATGTGAAATGCCCAATACTTTAGATAGTTCGCGAAACAGTGTAGACTCGAACTGCCTACCCTGATCGGTTGAAATTCTTAACGGTACGCCGAAGTTTTTTATCCAACCATTGAGTAGGGCAAGGGCAATCGTTTCTGCGTTTATGTCTGCTAGAGGAATAGCTTCAGGCCACCTGGAAAAACGATCAATGATTGTTAGGCAATACTTATACCCATTTGATGGTGGCAGAGGGCCGATAATGTCGATGTTGAGGTGGTCGAATCGCTCCGACGGTAATTCGTACCTTTCCATTGGGGAAACAACGTGCCTACCCACCTTTGAGCGTTGGCATGGTATGCAATGCGCAACGTAATTACCAACGTCGACGTCTATACTTTCCCATATAAAGTGTTGCTTTACTAACCGTGCAGTTGCTTTTTTTCCAGGGTGCGCAATGTTGTGAAATTTTGCAATTGCGAGCTGCCGTTGTTCAGGCGGTATGTAAGGGCGAGCTACGTTACCTGACACGTCGCATGTAATAGGCGTAGATTCTGCGGACAACTTGATTTGCTTGAATTGTAGGCCTGTGTTATTTGACTGCAAAAGCTTTTGGAGGTCAGCGCAAGTTGATTGTTGCTTAGCTATTTCCTCGTAGTCTATGGCATCGTCTGAAAGCGTGTGAAGAGAATTAATGCGCGAAAGTGTATCCGCGGTAATGTTAGCTGCTCCTGGCACGTGAAGAATGCTCGTTGTGAACTGGCCAATCAAATCGAGATGGCGAGTTTGTCTAGGAGATAAGTTGTCTTTTTTTCGCGTGAAGGCAAACGTAAGTGGCTTATGATCCGTTGCTATTGAAAACTGCCTGCCCTCAAGCAAGTGCCTAAAATGCTTAACGGCAGTGTAAATTGCTAGCAACTCCCGATCGTAAGTGCTGTATTTGCATTGTGCTGCAGAAAATTTTTTGGAAAAAAACGCGAGTGGTTGTGGTTGCCCACCAACGATTTGGTGTACTACTGCTCCCATAGCGCTGTCGCTTGCATCAGTGCACAATACGATATCGGCTGAGGGTGCTGGATGTGCTAACTGAGTGGCATTTGCTAATTCGTCCTTACATTTTTTAAAGTGGTAAGTGGTCCTCTCATTCCAGCTGATAAGAGTTTTGGCTTTCTTTTTGTTTCCGGTGACAAGCGCGTGAAGGTGTTGTTGATGTTCAATTGCATGTGGTATAAACCTTCGGTAAAAATTTACCATTGCCAAAAACCGCTTAAGCTCGAATGCGAACTTTGGCAAGGGAAATGTACGTATGACCTCTACTTTAGCAGGTGTTGGTTTAATCCTAAAAACTGGATTTTTTCTGCACCGAATATACATTTTGACGGGTTGATGGTTAGGCAGCTTTTCCGCAGTCTTTCGAAGACGAGACGAAGATGTGCAGTGTGCTCTTCATTTGTAGCAGATGCGACGCAAATATCGTCTACGTAACTAAAGGCGAATTCCAGGCCTCTTAAGGCTTCGTGCATGTACCTTTGAAAGGTTTGTGCGGCGTTTCGCAAGCCAAAGGGCATGCGAATAAATTCGAATAGGCCGAATGGTGTTGTGACGGCGGTTTTCGGTATGTCCTCTTCGGCGACGGGAATTTGATAATAGCCGCGGTATAAATCAATTTTTGAAAATATTTTCTTACCATGTAGAAAGCACGTGAAGTCTTGGATGTGCGGCAGAGGGTACCTGTCCGGCAGCGTCTGTGCGTTGAGTGCCCTATAATCGCCACAGGGCCTCCAAGTGTTGTCTGCTTTGCGTACTACATGTAGTGGACTAGCGTATGGGCTTTTGGAGGGCCTGCACACACCGGCTTGTATGAGGTACTGAAACTCTTCTTTCACTGCGTGATATTTGTCTGCGCTCAGTCGACGTGGTTTTTCGAACACAGGTGGTCCCTCTGTTACTATAAAGTGTTTTACGTTGTTATTGCTGGTGTTGCGTCCGAAAGGCTTGTTTATTTGTGTGATATCACCAAAGCTTTGCAGTAGATGTGCATATATGCTAGTGCTGTCGAATGTTTTGACGGTGTAAGGTTGCACACCGACTGCGCGTGTTGCCTGACTGGTTAATTTCGTTTGACCGTCAATAAGAGTAGTATTTCGAATATCAACCAAAATGTTGTAGTTACTTAGAAAGTCCGCCCCGATAATATTGTGCTTTGTATCTGCAGCGACGAAGGTCCAGTCAAAAGGTCTGCGTAACCCGAGATCGAGGGAAAACCGTACTACACCGAAGGTTTTAATTTTTGTATTATTGGCGGCGAACAATTCTGGAGTTGATTGTGCAAGGATTGGTTGACTGACAGCTGCAGCATTTATAATGGATATGTCTGCACCTGTGTCAATTAAAAAACGTAACTTTGTACGGCGATCGACGATGAAAAATCTGTGCGCGCTAGATTGTGGGTGTGTACTATTAAAATTGTTGCAGCTTGACTTAATCGTTTCGGCGACGTTAGCTGCTGGTGTCGCCGACGATGTTAGTTTTTTGCTTTGAAATTGCAGGGAATATTGCATTTTTGTGCTTTGCTGCCGAATCGTTTGTGATACCAACACATTTCTTGACGGCTTGCAGGACTGCGATTCGGTGTTTTTTGGCGGCTTTGCGACCGCCCCCTACGATGAACGTGGTTACCTTTTTGCTCCATACGTACGAGTGTCTGTTCGATACGTCCGATTCTGTTCTCGATGGAATCGTTAGTATTTGCGTGCATTGAATTTTGTTGCTGTGTAGGATGGTGAGCCGTGACTGCGTCCACGGAGTTGACGCGCACAACGTCGATGATTTCATCTGCTATCGATGCTAATTGTTCCAACGTCATCTCCGGATTGCCTTTATCGATGCCAGTAATGACGGCTCGGGCGGAGACAGGTAGTTTTTGGAGCCAAAAGTCCTTAATTAGCTTTTTGTCGGTTGTCACTCCGGTCCTTTGTAGTTGGGACAACATGTGACTTGGTTTATTGTCACCGAGTTGGATCCCTGAAGTGAGTTGCTCTAAGCGTGCGATCGGGGAAACGGCAAATTTGCTGAGTACTGCAGTGCGAAGAGTAACGTACTTATCCTTTTCTGGGGGATTTCGTACAATGTCAAACGTTTGCTCGTGGAGACGTTCGTCCATACACATTACTGCGTTCTGAAATTTTGCGTTGTCGCGCTGGTCTTGATTCATTTTCCCGAAGTTGTTGATGGAGAAAAATGCTTCCAATCGGGTGAACCATGACTCAATGCTCTGCAGCGAGAAGCCATTCAGTAGGGGAACTTGTACTCGAGATGCGAAACTGCTGATGTCAGCAGTGTTGTGGGTCTGAGCATTATCGGAGCTTATGCTGCTCTGGGTCTCCTCGTCGTTTGGCAGGTTTGCAGTGGCACGTCGTCCACGTTCTCGGGCATACAAGATTTTAATCCAGCTGAATCCGCGTGGTCTTCGAATGGATCACGTCGGGGTCACCAGTTGTGGAGTTCCAGATAATAAATAAATACGGAACGCACAATATTTCAGTAATCCTCGTTTATTAGTAATTAATATTATATCAAATGTGGTTACCAAGAATATTGCAAATAGCGAGTTGAACTACAAGAAGGACCGGCCAAGAAGAAAGATTTTAGTACCTTCATCTGTCAAACTAACTTCAGCAGGGTTGCATTCTAGATCTAGTTAGGAGGTTGCCCCAAGTTATTTGTTTTTGAAAAACAGCATAAAGCTGCCTTTACATGAGGCGATTTTTTGACAGGCGATAATCGCCTGCAAAAGTTGACTTGCTGTCTACTTTGAGGCAAGCGATTCACCATTTACACGAGCGATTTCTCCAGAGCAATATTGAATCACCTGGAAAATCGCCTCATGTAAAGGCAGCTTAACCGTTACGGTCCGTGTGAAAATTTTTGAAGAAAGTGTGAAACTTTGATTTTTATGGTTTTGGTTGTTGAATTGACTAGATTTTTATAAAAAAAAAGCTAAAATTACACAAAAGGTTATTAAATTGTCAAAATTTGTCGCGCAGGTCTTTTCATGAAAAATGTTGTACATCTTATAAATATCTTATAAATATTATAAATGTGAAAGTTTGTATGTTTGGTGTTTGGGAAATCATCACGCGGAAACGGCTGCACGGATTTGCATGAAATTTTGTACGCAGATAGCTTATGGGCCAGATTGGTTAATATGTTTTTTTTTTTAAGAGTTGCCGCCTGTTAAAAAAGTTTAATTTATTTAATATGCGGGAACGACTGAATGGATTTGCATGAAAATTTGCACACAGATAGCTTATGACCTAGATTGGAAAATAGGCTAATTTTTTGGAAGAGTTGACACCTGTTAAAAAAGTTTAATTAAATTAATACGAGGAAACGACTAAACGGATTTGCATGAAATTTTTCACACAGATAGCTTATGGGCCAGATTGGTTAATATGCTATTTTTTTTTAAGAGTTGCCGCCTGTTAAAAAAGTTTCATTAAATTAATACGCGGAAACGACTGAATGGTTTTGCATGAAATTTTGCAAGCAGATAGCTTATGACCTGCAGTGGAAAACAGGCTAATAAGAGTTGCCACCTGTTAAAAAAGTTTAATTAAATTAATACGAGGAAACGACTAAACCTAGGTTAGAAAGTAGGCTACTTTTTTTTAAGAGTTGCCACCTGTTAGAAATGTTTAATTTAATTAATACGCTGAAATGAGTGAACTGATTTGCATGGAGGTTTTCACACAGATAGCTTATGAGCTAGGTTGAAAAATTGGCTACTTTTTTAAGAGTTACCACCTGCCAAAAAAGTTTAATAAAATTAATACGCGGAAAAGTCTGAACGGATTTGCATCAAATTTTGCAAGCAGATAGCTTATGACCTACAGTGGAAAATAGGCTAATTTTTGGAAGAGTTGCCACCTGTTAAAAAAGTTTTAATTAAATTAATACGCGGAAACGACTGAACAGATTTGCCTGACATTTCGCACAGAGATAGCTTATGACCTATGTTGGAAAACAGGCTACTATTTTAAGAGTTATCACGTATTAGGAAAGTTTAATTAAATTAATACGTGGAAATGACTGAACTGATTTGCATGAAAGTTTGCACACAGATAGCTTATGACCTAGACTGGAAAATAGGCTACTTTTTTAAGAATT